GAGTCTTTACAAACCAGAGAACTCTGTCCCCTGAGAGCCGTGCTTGGGAGGCCACAGCAAGAGCTGACGTCGGCGACTTAGGGCAGAGTGAAGGGTATATGCTTTCGGTGGCTTTTATTATTTTACTCTGCACTTGCTTCTCTCCATCTTATTGTACAAGTCTGTTTTAAGCATTTAGGTCAACTTTAAAACCACCTTCATAACTGCTCCACTGCAAAAACGAATCACCCTTGACGATCCCCGCTGAAGCAACCAGGCAGTGGGCCTTGGTGGCCAGAGCAGGGCAAAGGGAGGAGTATCTGTGCCCAGAAGCCAGCTGCAGATGGCACAGTCCCTGTGTCTTCCTAGTTTTCCTCCAAGAGTTATTCAAGGGGAAGGTTCTGCCTTAGGCAAAATCCCTTTAACAGCCCAGCTTCTCAAGGCAAGCATCGTTTTGTTAGGTCCCCAGCAGATGAAATCAGCGCTCCCTTTGGTCCCTTCTCAGCCAATTAATGCATTAGTTGAAAACAACTCTCTGATTTCCGCAGCCTCCAAAAAACTGGAGAAACAGAGAGCGAGCTCCAAATACATATTCACTAATCAGAAATACAAATCACAGCCCATCTCAAGCTCAAGGTAACACTCACCACAGGGGAGAGGACTTTTGAAACAACAGTTTAGTTTTCACAATGCCCAAGGAATTTACACTCACCTTTGAATTTATGTGATACTTCCCACTTACAGCAACAAATTACCAATAATTAAAATTATAGCTAGGTTGATTTGATAAGATCGGCTTATAATTTCTAAAGAAAGTATTTGATACACAGGAATGTGTCAGCAGGTCTTCGTTTCTGTTTAGTAGAAAGCATCACCCCAGCTCCCTAACACCCCTTTATATAAAGAGTCTGGAATATTATAGTCGGGGGCCTCATCCCAGCCCCTGGTGCCCATCTTTAGAATACTGGGCAGGAACTCCATTTCAAACCCCCTCCCCTGGGAGTTGTCTTAATCCACACTCTACCTCGGAGAAAGGCCCCCAAACAGTAACCCCTCCCCAGGGAAGATCAAGACCACTCCCACAGGTTACTTATACTGCCCCCCAGAGAATGCACACATGGTCTCCGGGTTTCATGTGGTCTCCCCTTCTTTCTCTTCCCCTCGCCATGCCTTCCCGGGCCACCCTGGAGCACTGCATTAAACATGGGCGTCTTTTATTTGGTCTAATTTGGTCTGATTGGAATTATTTGCGTCGGCGGAGAGGTTTGTCTAACAATTTCTGGTTTAAACTCTAGCAGCAGTCTTTGCAGGACAGAGTGGGAGTCAGCCTGTTGGGACAAGCCTGTGTCCTCCGCCTGATGTACTAGCCTATGGCCTGTGACCCCAGCCTGATGTACGGGCCTGTGGCCTGTGACCCCAGCCTGATGTACGAGCCTGTGGCCTGTGACCCCAGCCTGATGTACTAGCCTATGGTCTGTGTCCTCAGTTTGTTGGAACAAGCCTGTGACCCCAGCCTGATGTACTAGCCTATGGTCTGTGTCCTCAGCCTGTTGGGACGCCTGTGTCCCCCGCCTGATGTACTAGCCTATGGTCTGTGTCCCCCGCCTGATGCCACAAGCTTGTATTCCGGTTATTTGGGTAGCTGAGAGTAACAACAGACCAAGAGGTCCGGGCCTGCTAAGGCAACTTGGGAACGACCTTATTCAAAACAGAAAAGCAAAAAGGGCTGGAGAGACAGCTCTGTGATAGCACATTTTGTCTGAGGCCCTAGGGTTTTTTTTATTCTTCTGTACCATGAAAACCAGTAACAACAAAACAACAACAGAGACACAGCGGAGGAAAATACGATTATCAAAAATCCATCCATCCGACTGTTCATCCATGCATACTTCAAGCTGGTGACTTCAGATGGGCAGCACGGTTCGGAACAGTCTCTCCCTCACAGAGCCACACAAGGGAGGGCACTGGAGTCTGAGACAGTAAGAAGAAGCAGGCAATTTTGTGAGCACATCTTGTCTTTCTAATACGAAAGACTGACGCCCACCCCCAACCCAAAGGTAAAACAAAAGGCATACACCCCTTTGTGGAAGACGCTTGTGGAAAACTGTGGAAAAATCCACATCCTGAAAGCATTTGATTACCCAGGATTTAAAGTGGGACTTTGCTCAGTGGCAAGAGTACAAATTCATCCCGGCAATGCTGGCTTCTGTGGTCAGGGGCGCACGATGGCTTGGAGGGAAGGCTAGTTTGGAAGGGCAGATAAACTGGGCTCAAAAACAGATTCATCAGATGTTATCACCGACGTGCCCCCCATCCCTGCACCTGAAGTTCTCCGACACGCTGAGCACCCCGAATCCACAGTCTGAGGAGGTGACAAATAGTTTCAAGCACAATTTGTTCCCCGTTTTTATTCCCTGCTCACCGAGTTATGCGCTGCTAAACACTTCCAGAAGACTGTCAAAACGTAAGCATCCCAAGGTTTACACAGGCCACACCATTAAATAACATATAAGCACCAAGATTTAAACATTGTTTTCCAGCAATGCTAAATATTTTAGCTAAGTAAAACCTGAAGCTTGAAATGCAATAAGCATCTAAATGACTCTTTTCTGGCCAGAATTCTTACTTTCCCTGTGCGACCCTGGCTGCTGGGCTGAAGGCAACCCCAGGGAGCTCGGCAAATGGTTGTGGGTTAGGAGATGCAGCAGGGGCTTGGCGACAGCGCGCCACCCAGCTTCAAGAAACGCAACCACGACTGGAACCCAAGAATCAGTGTGTTCACTTTGTGGTCAGCTTCACATTTTTTCCTCTCCTTGGAAACAAATTAAAAAGGCAGCTCGGAAATCAGGCCTGTCTCCCACCTCCCAAGTCATCGTGAGCTGGGGCGAGAGCAGAGCTGGAAGGCTCCAGGCTCTACACTAGGGGAGGCTGGTTCCCTTGGGTAGGCACGAGATGCCTACAGTGCCTCAGCCTTGGGGAGGGGGGCGGCGACACGGGACTGACTGCAGCAATGACAGCAGCCACGCCGCCCCAGACATGTTGGGCTGTCACTTTGGGGAGAAGAAAAACCCAGAACAAATTTCACGTGGTTTTCCCCACATGGTGATTGCATCCAATTCTAGGGCTGTCACAGGCATGCCACCCACAGAGCAGGAGTCATGGAAAGTAGGCCTCCTTCAAAGACGCTCAAGTCACTGCCTCCCGAACAGAAAAAGCCAAACATTTCAAAGAAACACGGACAACGTGGTCCTATCAACACCGACTTCTGGGCCTCTGGTTTCTTCTTATTCACTGTGTGCAGAATTCCCCTCAGCCCCACAGAAGCATAAGCAAAGCCAGGGCGCTCTCCCATCAAACCCCACAGCTCGTAAAGAAATGGGTGGACTGTGTACTTTTTATGAGGTCTGGGTCAGTGGTTTTTTTTCCACGAGAATCTGATCTTCTATTAAATTTCCAGCAAGTGTCGAAAGGGAATGTAAGAACTCAGAGGCTTTCCTCCACACCCCAAGTCCAAAGCTGGAGCCCCGAGCCACCCTCACACAGGCACTGGTCTCTGAGGGCCATATGCAGGTAGGTATCATATCACGTACTGGAAAGCACGACTCTGTTATGTCAGGAGAAGGAGTCATGTGCACACATGTCCTATTTCTGGTAAAGGTCATACCTATAATAGATGTGCAAATGAACATCTTATGGGTGTGTTGACTCTTTCCAACTTGAAGACAACTCTGTGTGTCGACCTAAAGGAGCAGGGCTGGGAATCTTGGGTCTGAGAACATCTATGCACACCTGAGTAGATCAATCAGTATCATTTTGGGGAAATGACTGTTGTTGAACATAACCACAAACCCTTTTTAAGGCTAACTTCTTCCAAAATCACCATGAGGAAAAGATTAGCAAGGGTTAGATACAGCAAAATATGGTTCAGACACAACCCGGTAGTAAATTACAAATATCATTTCAGACTAGTTCTTATGCCCAACTTCCGCTGAAGCTTTGCATTATTTTAATCCTCATGGTAAGAAGCTGTAGCAAGCAGAGCTGGGGGATGGTCCTGCCAGTCAACTGCGGCTGTGCAAGCATTGGGACCACATTTGCACCCAGCAGTCATGTACAAACCCGGGACTGGAGGCCACTCCCATGTCACCAAGAACAGGTCACTCCCCTGGTTGTGGGTATGGGAACGCGTGGATCCCTAGAGTTCACCAGCCAGTTAGGGAGCCGAATTGTTGAGCTCTAATTCCATGAAAGACCCTCTCTCGGGAATGAAGATGGAGAGTGAGCGAGGAGAACACCCATGCTGAACTCTGGTTTCCATACATATGTGCACACATGTGCATTCATACCTAAACACAGCCAAGTGAGCACGTGCTTTCCTAACACACAAACTGTCTTAAGTATTACAGATGACCAGGGTGAGATATTCTTCAGTAGTTCTTTCCCTTCCTACTCATCCTAAACCATGCACATGAGCCCAGTAGGAGCAGGATATCCCCAAACACGGCATGAAAAAGAATCCACTAATGATAAACATGTTCGTCATCCCTCATGGAAATAGACAAGAGCAAGCAACCAGTAGCTTTAAAAATAGTTTATTTCCCCCTTCACAAACACATACGCCTCTGACCATGATACAAGGCACCCCAAATTAAATAAAAACTTTGAGTATATTTGTCTGACATGATCAAGATAGAGTGATTTTAAAGGTGAATGGGTGCCTACAATAGAGGTGGGAGCAGGCTGGCCCCAGCACGAGGGGGTGGCATTAATTGGCAGGAATCAGCATGTGTTCATCATGTAAGCATTTACCCAAAATCAACACTCTCAGGAGCAGAACTGTGTCTCAGTTTCTTCTGTCTCTATAATAAGAATGCCAAAAGCACTTCCTTAACATTCAAAACTTTTCCCTCGTAGACTTGGTACGAGTAAGAGAATATGATTACTAAACATTCTCAATGTGGCTCTCATTATGAAAAAACATGTTTCACATAAAACCTTCATAATACAATCCAGAGGCCAAATTTGTGCATGTTTAAAATTTGAGTCCAGGCTAGATATTTGTTTTTTTTTTTCTTACAGTGTTTTTCATTTTTATAAATATATTCCCAGCCTTCTACTTCTTTAAACATCCTCAGAACTCTTCGCTTTAGGAACCATGGTTGCCTTTCAGTAGACTCAGTGAGACCATGATTCAGGTAGGAGACATCCCTAATTTCCCTTCAGACATACTCCAGATCAAGTTAGTGGTGCCCAAATCCCAGTGTATAAAAGATACAAACATAGGTTTGTGGGCAGAGGGCCAAAGAATAATTAGGAATAATTCCACATGATCTTGGTACAAAAACATCCAGAAAATGAATGATTGCATTTAATATAAAAAGCCTTGACCTGAATTTAAATGAGACAGATGCGGAAGGGGTTAAGCCACTCTTCATTCTGAGATGGGGCTCCCTGCAGTTCCAACCGTTCAACAGCCACATCCAGGTCAGTCTGCCTACGGGCCCCCAGCAGTCACTTTTGAGGTAGATGCTGAAGGCTTGAAGAGAGGTAGGTAAAGTCCAAACCTGTTTTCAATCCCTGCAAATGTTGCAACTGCCAGTTTATAGCCCCCTACGTGGTCAGGATTGGGAGCAGGCAGAGTGATCCGGGATTTAGGAACTGGTTCGGATCCCATGGGCTTCCTATGAAGAAAGGAAAGTGGTATCAACTGAGTGTTTAAAAAAAAATCCCAGTAGAAGCCGGGTGGTGGTGGTGGTGCACACCTTTAATCCCAGTACTTGGGAGGCAGAGATAGGCAGATCTCTGTGAGTTCAAGAACAGCCTTGTCTACAAGAGCTAGTTCCAGGACAGGTTCCAAAGCTACAGAGACCCCTGTCTTGAAAACAACAACAACAGAAAATTCCAGGAGAAACCAATAAAACCATGCAGCATAGAGCAAAGACTGGACTCTAGTCAGCTGCGGGCTCCCGTTGACAAGACCTTGCGGACACTGTTGCAGGAGGCAGACAGCCTCGTGGGCTTTTCTCAATGAGAATTAGCATTAGAGGATGCAGAAATTTAGCTGTATGTTCACCAGGACACTCACACTCCTCCAAAATCGACGTAGAACCATCGCTGTAACAACTCATAAGTCAGCAAGGTGACACCAAACTGTGGCGAGGACCGGAAGACACGAGCTACAGCAGAGATGGAAAGAAATACAGATACCATTAGATCATTTTAAAAAATGTCCCTGATGCCAAAGGGTTAGCTAAGAACCAATGCCTTCCGTACCAGCAGCTCCCTTCCACAGAGCTTTTGGGCCTTCTTCCCGCAGTATCTTTCGGAAGCAGTCAGTCACACCGCTGTAAGTGGTCTGGCCAGCTCGGGCAGCCACCTGTAATCTAGTCTTGATAACATCAGCAGGGGTCACTAGAGATGCTGCAGGCATACCTGTAGGCGAGACACAACACCATCCTCACTATATAAAAATAACGGTGCTCTGAATGGCTGGCCGTGGAAAGGAAAGAAAGGTAAGAAGCCAATGCAATGAAATGCCCATTTTGCTGTCCTCTGGAAAGCACAACATGACAGATCTGTCTGCGAGTGTCCACCACCCCCTCCAATCTTCATTTCTTATTTCTATTCTTAAATACATAAATATTTAAGTAATTATTTATCCATAACACCATTTCAAGTGGTTGAGAACAAACAGAGAAAGTGGTTTTCAAAAAAAAAAAAAAATTTCTTTTTTTTTGCTTTCCTGTTGAAATCAGAACCTCACAAAGTTATTAGGTCTGATTTTTCAGAGGTGAGGCTTATTATATGTTTCCTCTTCACGGTTTCCTGGCGGTTGGCAGTCACAGGAGGCTGCCTTTTCTCACACATCCAGCCACCCTGTACTCCAAAACCCTAACCTCTCTTACCCAAGGCTGTAACGATAGCAAAGCAAACAGTGTGAGCCTGCATGTGATGATCCCACCGCTTTTTCCTCCTCACAAAACTCACACAGCTAGAACATTTTAACACAAGACTTCAAACTTATGCAGGCTAATAATCAATGAGGAAGGAAAACAACAACAGAATCCCTCCCAAAATTACCAACGGGAAAATTTTCTACAGTTGTTTTTATCCAAAAATGGTGCAGCCCATGTTTGGAGTTTTGAAAAGGGAGACTGTTCAGAAAATACTGTCTCTTACGGTTTTATTACTTTTCCATTATGAACCTATTCCAAACCAACCTGGTCAGATGCAGATGCATAAATCTCCTTTGCTTTTTTTAAGGCTTAATAATTCTGTAAGAATTTCTGTCCAAACCAACATGGTCTGGCTTAGAACTCCATCTGGCCCTTCGGCAGTCAGCTTTAAAGTCACAGTGCAAGCAAGCACGAGGGGTGTGTAACTGTGGCCTCCATGCTCCCAGACCACGAGAAGAGCCCGGGCTCTTCCTCAACTCCGATACCATCAATTCCTAGAAACAGCCTGTTACAAAGCACTCCGCAGCTTTACATGGGAAAAGTTCACTTTCTACCCAGTGCTCACCGAAGAGTCGCACTGGGATTCCTATGAGCTTGGAGGGATTACTGTCATTCTGAGCCAGGAATTTATCCTCTGACATGATGAGAGGAAACACAAAAAAATGCTTAGAAACCCACTGTATTCACACTATCAGTCATTTTGTTTTGCTTCCTGGTTTAGAAAGAGGAGTCTCCTCTAAACATGGAACAAAATCCTTGTAACCACATTGCAGGTATGATCAGCTGGGACTGGGAAAGACACAGGCGATAAGGGGGGAACAGTCTTTATCACAAACATTTCCTGACCATGAGAGAAGTACCGGAGAGGAGGAGAGTACGAAGAATGGGTCTGATTAGAATAAAGATGCCTGAACGAAAATGCTAAAAGAAACACAGAAACTACTTAGTAAGTTGTCTGGCAAAGCAGATTAGGGTGTGGGTGGGTGGCGGCGGTGGGGGCGGGGTGTAGAAATCCTACATCCCAAACACAAGCCCAGTCATATTTATCTGTAGCCCCACAGCCCCTAAAGGGTGATGTCTAGAGTCTAGGAGCCACTACGGACATCCCTGTAGAGACTTCTAAGGTTGACAGTAACCCTGGAAAACTGGGTTCCGCTGCTCTAAAACTTAGCCAGGCCAGCAACAGATCCTGCAAAGGGCTTGGTCACCAGATAGCTGAGTGGACAAAGACTCCAAGTCAATTTGCCCGGGCATTCTCTGCTTTCCAAAGTCTGAAGCCAAATGGGTGAAATGGTCTGGGGGTAACAGGAGAGAAGATAGAAGAATACCATCTGTGTCCTCAACAGGAAGAATACCGTCAGCCTGCTTGGTTCTTTATTGATAAGACTCACACGTGCATGGCCCTGGACCATGCACCACCCTAGCAACAAAAATGATACCCAGAGCTCAGTAGCTAATAAGAACAACTGTGGGGTTTCCATGGAACCAGAAATGACAGAAGATCACCGATAGCAAAAAAAAATTGCGACTTGGTGAATCCAGACAGCTTTGGGGCCAGAGATACTAATTTTTGTAAGTATTAACATTAATAAGTTTGTGCTTTTCCATTTAAGGCTTAAAAGGTTAACACACAGGTTTCTTTTAGCTCAAGGTCAAGAGGTTCCAAATTCCACTTCTTGGCTTCTATCTACATGATCAAGCTACTAGGTTGGCTACTGATGTGATAAAGTTCCTCATTAAGAAAGAGAGACTCTCAAGGTCTGGCTATACTTCTAAGCTGAGATAGAGAAAGGACGTAGCACTGGTGATGCCCAAAGGTTGGGTGATACTGTCACACTGAAGATGAAAGCTGAATGAAAGTGTCTGCTTTCACTTAGGACACTGAATCCATTTCATTGACGATGGCTCCTGGACTCATTCCTCATGTCCTGTGTATGTTTTCTAGCTCCTCCCCTTCCCGTTACTTCTTTAATAACATGACGTAGCCATGGCACACAAATATCTATCACACAGGTGTGCCTCTAACACACATCTTCTTTCAGCAGGTCACGGATGGTAGCTCACTTTCCTCCTGGCCTTTTCTTTCCCTCACGTGTCTCCCAACAGCCCTCTTGCATAATAAACACAAACACCTGAGTCAGCGACAATTTTGAGTGATTTAGAGCTATGACTTTCCTGTCAATGCTTCGAGTTTCCCATGCTGTCCCTCTTAAATTCACTCCTCCTTTGGCTGCAGAGAAGGGAGCCTTACAAGAAGAGTAGACAGACACGGGCTCCGTCTTCTCCCAGGGTGCTGCTAAGCCTGGGGACATCACTGTGGTTGCAGCCCTCATCTCCCGGACAACTGGCAGGTAGAAGTGGCAGGAAGTGGGCTGCAGATGAGAAGCCCAACTTCTCTGGCACACTTGTTGGCTGTCCTCTCCGCACCCTGATATCCAGGGAACTCTTTTGAAAAGACAGTAGACCTACATGTCTCTTCAATGCTCATATTCCCACCTCTGTAGCTTTGTGCCACATTCTAGAGTGTTGTCCCTACTGTGTCTTTATTTCCCAAATGTCCAACTTTTTCTCCTTTTCCTTATTCTTTTCTCAAGCACCCAAGCTGTCCTCAAACTCTTAATTTTCCTGCCTTATCTTCATGAGTGTTGGGGTCATAGGTGAGCAGACCTCATGAGGCCTCGCTTGGTTTTCTTTAGTCAGATCTGTTTTTATCAAACAGAACCATATAGATCTTTCTTGACAATCATTTCATTAATTAAGAAACAATACCATCCAAGGTCAACAATTCTGGCTACAAATTGAGTACAAGGCCAGCCTTGGTTGTCCTAATGAGAAGCTGTTTCAAATTAATCACGTAATCAATGTATTAGACCTCGAGTCCATCCTCAACACCTCAAATAAACACAGAAATTTAAAATGCCACAGAACTTTACATGTGTTACGACAAGTCAATTTCCCGATTGTGACCTTGTATGATAGTTATGGAAGATGCAAGGTTCCTAGGAAGAGTACGTGAAAGATGACTATATTGTTTTCACGACTTCCTATGTACTTACTTTTATTTAAGAATAAAAAGTAAGACACAAAGAATCCCTTCCGGCTTCCTAATTACAGCTCTTGCAAGTTCCCCTCTGGTCCCTAAATTACCGTTCTCTCTGTAATTTTTCAGTTTGCTTTCCTTGCTGCCTCTTCCTGTCTGAGGATGCCCGGCTGTCTGCTGATACTCAGAGTGAAATTGTGGCCCGAGCAGCCACTCTTGGCCGTGGGTGGCACCTGTCACACTCCAGACCTGCTTCCCCCACCTCTCTCCATTTTGGATCAGAGATTATTCATGTTGAAGGTGCTAAGGTAGGCTGGCAGGGCTGAACCTTTCCCAGATGCTGATAGGTAGAAAGCTGAAGGGTGCAGCGAGAAGAATTTATCCCCTACTCTGCTGGAAGGAGCTGTGAATTTATGTTCTGCTGCACCTGTGGCTGAGGTTCGGCACGAGCTCATGCCCGGCCCTGCTTTCCATCAGTTCAACACATGCTCTTTCCGGGCCGAGGGCTTCTTTTCTGCACTACAGTTCTAGGTCTGAACTTATGGACAGATTTTGCATGATGCTCTAGATGACATGGGAAGTGGCTAAGCTGGCTAATTTACTTCTTTTAGAATACCCAAGGCACCTACTGCTCACTAAGAGGTCAAGAATGTCCACTTTGGCTTCTCCATTATCCTGCCAGTGCTTTGACTCAGTCTGGTTGCTTCCTGAGTACTGAGTGCTGCTGCTGCTTTCACGGTGTATTTCTTGCTGTTTAAGGTGTTCTGGAAGGAAGCTGGATCAGTATGTACACTTCACCACATTTGTCTCCATTATTTTTATTCTCAAGGCTCTAAGAACTGAATTATTCCATTATCAAATCTTCTATATCAGCAGCCACTCCCCTCTTAGGATTGAATAACATACCTTGAGCCACAAGCACCCAAAAAACTTCTGATCCACACCCAAAAAGAAACATTAAGTACTTGTTTAAAGCTGAGAAGCTCTGGAGTAGCAATAAAAAAATATCAGGTGTGGCTAGTTTTATGTCAACTCGACACAAACTACAGTACTCTGAGAGGAGGGAACCTCAACTGAGAAAACGCCTCCATAAGATTGGGCATAGGCAAACCTATTAGTAACTAATGGGGGAGGGCCCAGACCATTGTGGGTAGGGCCACACATGAGTTGGAGGTCCTGGGCTTTATAACAAAGCAAGCTGAGCAAGCTCTGGGGAGTAAGTCAGTAAGCAACACTCCTCCACGGCTCTGCATCAGCTCCTGCCACCAGGTTCTTGCCCTGTTTGAATTCCTGTCTGGACTTCCTTCAATGATGAACAGTGATGTGGAAGTGTAAGCAAATGGACCGTTTCCTCCCCGAGTTGCTTTTGGTCACGGTGTCTCAGCACAGTAATAGCAGCCTAAGTAGGCCACCAGCTAAGTGCTCAGATAACAGGA